AAAAGTTGAAATGGAGTTAAAAGTATTCCAGACTTAACTATACAGTGAACATGGCAAAAAGAAAGAATTAAACTTCTTAGCTACTGATTTCCAGCTTTCTTTTCTGCCATCCCTTCAAATTTATTTGTTATACCTGGGTAGCATTAGCTTCATTTTATTAATGAGTCTCTTCAGAGATCTGATTTGTACAATTCACTAACCTATATATAAAATCAACATTACAATAGAACAATTTAAACAATTATTTTCCAGTATCAGTCCTAGTTGTCAACATTACGTCATAACAGATAATGTCTGTGGTCATAGCACCCAAATGCATTGGGAATATTTTTGTTTGTAATTAAGCATAAAGCTACACAATGGGCTATCTGTGCTCTGCCCACCACAGGTATCGAAAACCCGGATTCTAGCGTTGTAAGTCCGCAGACATCATTGGGGATATTCCATCTATCAGACAAAATCCAGAAAAAAATAATCATTGTTGGCTAAATATGAAAATAAGAGCAAGAAATTAATGTAAACAGGATATAAATTACTACAATAACATCGAGGTAGAAAGGGATGACAATTGAGGAGTGCAGTAAAACAAGTCAAAAGGAAAGTACTAATAAAAGTTATGAAAAAGAAATCTTCTCACCTTTTCTACCATATGAGACTTTGTCGTACGATAACGGCCTTTAATGATGGCAAAACATAATAAAGTCATAACCATAAAAAACAGAAAGTAACTGGTGTGCATCAGATGAAGATTTACCATGGATCGATCAAACTAGAGAATGAAAAAAAACTTACTTTTTAAAAGGAAAATTACTTTAAAAACTTAAAATGTTGGTTATTCAGCATGTCAGTATGATATCAAAAAAAGAATATAACAGTTATCACAAAAGATGAATTAAAACAATATGTAACTGTGAAAGTAATGATCCTAAGGTATTCAAAAATGATAGAATTTAAAACCAAAATGTTCAAAATCAACATTATGTAACATCACATAAAACAAATATAAAATTACTTCCAGAGGGTGACTATTTGAAACTGGTGAAGTAGGATATTAGCACATGATGACATTAAATTTAACAATTCTTATCCCTGAATATAATCACTGAGAATTATTCCAACCAAAAACAGGTCTAACAAGGATGTGTGTTACTCTACATCAGGTAACAGTTAAACAAAGATACGTGTGACACATAAAATGATGTAACACTTAAACAAGGATATGTGTTAATCTTTAAACCAGAGAACACTTTACCAATGATATTTGTTATTGTTTAAGCCAGAGGTCACAACAAAGATATGTGTTAATCTTTAAACCAGACACACTAATACAACTATGTGTATTATTCTTTAAACCAGAGAACACGTAAACAATGTGTTAGTCTTTAAACCAGACACACTAATACAACTATGTGTATTATTCTTTAAACCAGAGAACACGTAAACAATGTGTTAGTCTTTAAACCAGACACACTAATACAAC